ACGTGGACCACGGGGCAGCACCAGCACAGATCCGCAGGGGCTTCCCGTGCTCCTGCTCAGCCTGCAGAGGGACCTGCTGCGCACGCAGCGCGTCACCAGAACGGCAGCGGTGCGTGTCGGAGAGAAGCTTGATCATGGGTGTATGCAGATCTCCAAATGTATTTTTAAAATACAAGTAAAACTATAATTTAGAAAAAAAAAAAAAAGTTTGATCCCAGCCTGGGTAACTTGGTGAGGCCCTCCCTTAAAAAAAAACAATCAATCAATCAATCAATCAATCTATGATACAAATATTAGCTGTAATACATTCACAGGTAAGGTCTATCTAGGTAATTCTAACAAGATATTTGCAGAATAGGTCAATATGGCAGAGTCTAAAATATTTAATACGATATTATGTTCACAGATTAAAATGTCATAGGCCTGAATTTAAGAGACAAGCTTTATCCCAATTTGTGAAAAAGATCCCAGTTTCTAGAGGAAAGGCTATACTGCCACCTATCATGTCAACCAGTGAATTTAAAGAGGTCACTGCATAATGACAAGTGTTCTGGGCTAAGCAAAATATGACTGCAGATTATAAAGAAGTAACGAAGACGCCCCGCACCTGTAAAGCATTCCGGTCTCTCATGGCTATTTCAAATGATGTGATCACTACAGGATGAATATGCAGTGTCCCGTTTTTTTGGTGAATAATCCTTACCAACTGGCGACGCTCCTTCTGGCTTCCATGATATAATATAACAGGAATCTAGAAGGTTTTAGGTTGATTTAAAACAAAACGTAAATAATAGTTACTTTTTTTTTTTTTTTTTGCAGAACCAGGGACTGAACTACTGAGCCATCTCCCTGGGCCCAATAACAGTTACTTTGAAAATAGGTAATTTTCTGTTATTTTTTTAAAAGAAGTAATTTTCTGAGGAAAAACCTCAAAATTCAATTTTTCTACAGCAAAATGAGATAACCTAACAAATAATATGACCATTATGGAAGAAACCAAAAATTGAGTAGAAGAGGCAAACAGGGAAGATACTCTCCACTTCCACACATTCTTCTCATAAGGAAGGGTTAAGATAGAATGCATATGGGGGACATCATGTAAGAATAAACATGATTGTGGACCGTCTGCCTGGGTCCCCCCTTCTGTCCCTTTCTCGGACAGGAACTTCCTTCCCCCATTAAATATATTCTGCTCTAAAAAAAAGAATAAACATGATTTAAAAAAAAAAAAATCACGTAGGTCTAAGGTGGATGAAATCATCCAATCCTCAAAAATCGGGAACATTTTAGGAGAGAAGTGAGATTACCAGTATCTTTTCTTTTTTTGCAAAGAATGGCATTTCTCAGATTAACTCAAACAAAATACGCTGCTAATAAAGAAATTAATATAGTAGGAAGACAATTAAATTCCAGGAACAAAAGAAAATACATGTGAAATTACATATGTAACACGAGGAAACTTACGTCTGGTGTGAATCTTTTGAACTCAGCAATCCAGTTAGGAAGTGTAGACAAAGGGCCACAGATAAGAAAAGGTCCAGGTACTCCTCTCTGAATCATCAATGCAACTGTAGCAATGCACTGAACAGTCTTACCCAATCCCATTTCATCTGCTAAAATGCCATTAATTCCATTTTCCCAGAGCATCTGGACAAAGAACACATACTATACTCAAATTCTGTTTATAAGCATCCACTAGATTAGCAATACTTTCTTTTTAAACTTTTTAACAAATGTATTTGGAACAGGGTCTCACTATGCAGCTAGGGCCTGTTTTCAGCCACCTCAACTGGACCGGGTCGCTGGCTCAGCATGCAGGGCTGGTGCCATCACATGGTGCTGGGGACTGAACTCCGGTCCCGGTGCTTGCCTAGGCAGGTGCTTAGTCTGCTGAACTGTCTTGCCAACCCTATTTCTCCTTTTTTTTTTTTTTTTTAAAAAAAAGAACACTCAAAAAACAAAAACAACTAAACGAAAAAGGATGGCAAATGTGAGATGAACATATACCCTCCGTAAATCTTAACCACTTTTGTGGGAGATCCTTTATCAAAGCCATAAAATGTGTTGGACATTTAATAAGGTAATTTTCATTTTCAAAAATTTATTCAGGGAGCCAAGCATGGTGGCACGTGCTTGTGCTATCAGCACTTGGGAGACCGAGAAGAGGAGAATCACTGCAAGGTCAAGGCCAGCCTGGGTTGTACAGCTAGGTCAAGGCCAGCCTGGACTACAGTGAGACCCTATTTAAAAAAAAAAGAAAAAAAATTATTCAGGGAAACAACAAAAGTACAAATACTCGCTTTATATATGAAAGTAAAGCACAGAAGGAACAATTAAGTTGTTATATTATTTTACCTAGGAACGAATGTATAAAACCTCCTTACCCAGAGCCATTCCATGCCTTCTACTTGATACCACCGCATCACCCCTCCCGTGAAAAGCTTTGGTTGCTGAAAGGGTACTGGCTGTCCATTACATTTCCTAACTGGGTCAAAGAAGAACTTAGTATTCTGCCTAACAGTTTGAGCCAATCGATCTTTAATCACGGTATTTGAGTCTTTATTTTTCTGAAGCTCTTCTACACATCTATTAGTAGAGGAGGAACTCTCATCCTGCAAAGAAAAATGCTTAATTAGAAATCTGATACAAAAATATTGCTATACTCCCCCCTCATGTAATAGAAAAATATATAATAATCAAAATCTAGTCAGTTCTATAATCATTAGGTCTGAAGAAACAAGACTGTCGCATAAACGTCTAAAGACAATTCCATTCCACATGAACACAAAGCCACTAAAAAACGTGGCAACAAGCTTTTGAGAATCATTTGTACAGAGTTAAAACCATCACCAGGCACATGCTTCTGAAAAGACCCTTGGAGCTCATCTCCTTCCAACTTCTGTACTCTACCACCTGAGAAGGTACACTATGCTCGCTACCTCCTCTGCTCACAAGGCAATACACATCCACGGGGAGGTGCAGCAGCAGAAGTCATCGCAGGGAATAGAGACATTTACTTTCACTGAAGTAGCTGCCTTTGCTGAAGATCTGAATGCTCAGTATATCACACTTAGGAGTGTCAACGTTACACGGGACACTCGGCACCATCTTGGGAATCAAAGGCAGATTTTACTGTCTAACTCCAGTTTAAGAATGAAAACTGGGATTCAGTCAATTCAAAGGGAGAGTCTCGTAAATATGCAAGCGTAATCCATAAATTCAATTTTCTATTATAAATATCTTACCTCATCCTCCTTTTTATTTTTTTTGGCCACAGATAAAATTTCCTAGAAGATTGAAAAAGCCAAAACAAATTAATAATTTATGAGCCCATTTATTTATTCATTCAACAAACATTAATTCTGTGCTAATTTATGACAAAAAATAAGGATAAAGCATCCAGGGTAGTTAAAAAAGAGAATCTCAATCTGGTGCTCCACAGGCCAAATCAAGCCTCAGAGCAAACAATAATCTGCAGACCACTCCAACTGACAGTCTAGTTTTAGAAGAAATAAAACCAGGCCATTTGTTTACAGCCTACTATACCTGTTTTTAGCTACAATAAGAGTTCAGGTTTGAGTAGTTACATGAAAAACTAAAAATATTATCTGGTTATATACAGAATAAATTTGCTAAATCCTGCTGCAGCCCACTTTGGGCATCACTGTGACTTAATGGAGCACTAATGTTATAAAAAAAAAATTATCTGAAAATTTTAGCACTAGGCTCACTCAGTAAACACAACGCAAATTTCATACGAAGAACACAACAATAGCATGTATGTGTGAAGATACAGAAAATGAAGTACTCTCAAGAAACTGATTTTTAAGTATGAAATTTAAGATGCACAGGAGACAACATGCTAGTAAGTTACTGACATATGCATATATGCATACGGCCTAAATACATACACGTGTACACACAAAGTACGCGATCCATGTGTAGACAGATATTCTTATTAAAAGGCTGAAAGGATTTTCTACGAGGAACCAATAAAAGAGTTGTCTTTTAAATAACATGAACCTTTAACTACTTGTACTTAGTCAAGGGGACCTGTCCATTAGCTCAGATGTTTAAGTGCCTGCTGAAACAAAGCAGTCAGGCTCAGGATGCTGTGGTTCTATCCCCTCATCCTCAAGCCAAACCAGACCTGCCCTGAAGGCATCCTGAGCGCGTCCCCCCCCCCAGCAAAAAAACTCCTTCTGTAATGAGTCAAAACATTTAAGTATCATGTACAAAGTAGTCTTATTAAAAATTAAATCCTAATCAACTTCTACATCTATCAATTTACAGGAAAAAAAGGACAAAGAAATTATGGGCAAAATTCGAAGCAAAATTCGAATATAAAAGTGTATGAAACAATTTTTCTTCAATAATTTACACTCCCTCAAAAAATGCAAAGCTAAAAGACCTGAAGGATGTATTAGTGAAATACAATCTATGTACACCATTCAGATCCTTTTTTTTTTTTTTGCGGAACCGGGGATTGAACTCAGATCCTTGCGTTTGCTGGTCAAGCGCTTATCCTCCTGAGCCATCTCCCCGGCCCCCAGATCCTTATTTAAACCAACTATTTAAAAAAAAGCCTACTGGAAAATTAGTTGCATTAGGTAATTTTTACCAAGTTTAAATAATATGATTACTGTGGCTATGTTTTTAAAAAATAGTCCTGGGCCAGGGAGATAGCTTAGCGGACTAGGCAAGCTTAGGCAAGAGTAGCAATCAAGGTTTGATTCCCAGCACCACGTGCCGTGCCAGCCCTTCCCCAGGGCGAGCTAAACCAGCCAGAGTCCAGGCGTAGTGAAGCACGCCTGTAATCCCAGTGCTGGGGAGGATTACAACAGGAGGATCACTATGAGTCCCAGCTATGTGAGACCCTGTAACAACCAAATACATTTTAAAAAAAGATGACAGTAGGACACTTTGCCACTAGTTCCTCCTCAAAACACACCTGCAGGGTGCCAGATCCGATGAATAAGGTGGGTAAGAACACATCATGCTTCCACAAGCCTGCCTGCCTGTGGTAGGATGGCACACAACATTATGTGGATCACATAGTTTGGAATGTAATCACTATGTTCTGCAAACATGCAAGAATAAATTTTTTTCAAAAGACTCAGAAAAGGATTTCCAGAACTGCATCAAAAAATGGGCAAAAAAAAAAAAAAAAAGATAGGATGTGCATTCAAAAATAAGGCGGTGCGTATTTTGATGGGATTAATGGTAATATGCCTTTTAATTTTTATTTGGACATATACTCTATGTTCTAATCAGTGCTTACAGATGTCATTCCAAAGACAAAATTCTCAGGAACCTTACGCCTAAGAACCCCTCTTTAGGTTCTCAGCTGCATCCACTTTCCCAGTTTAAGTGATTATTTCTCCGATTCTCACTGGATGAGAATAAGTCCTAAGTATTCACCTTTATTAGTGATCTCACCTATTTATGACAGTTTGCCTCAAATGAGCAGCTCCATAACTAGTTAAATCTTAATAAAGTGTACAGGTTCAGCTTTTATAGCACTTTAGGTATTTATTTTCCCACACTTTCTTAGTGCATACTAGTTACAGAGATTACTGGGTTTCATTTCGGCAGATTTGTGCATGCACCATGGTTTCAATTTTTTGTCAGCTTCACCTATAAAATGTAATGTTAAACAGAGATGCACATCTGACAACAAAGAACTAAAAAGATCACTTAATGATCCTTTAAAAAATGAAACTGGGGAGCCGGGGAGCCGGCTCAGTGGAATAAGCACTTTCCTGGCAAGTGCAAGGGCCTGAGTTCAATCCCCAGTTCTGAGAAAAAAAAAAAAAAGAAAGAAACCGGTCTTTATTATGAATAGCTGTAAGTTTACATATCTTTTATTTAGGGTTGATTTTAAGAGTACCAAAATATTACTGAAATGAGGCATTTAAAACACACTGAAAAGCCAAGAAACAGTAATTCTTACAGTTTAGGAGGATTAAAAACTTATAGCAGGTTCTACTAGAACTAAGTAGTAACTGCCCTGTCCATTTTTACCTCTTTTGACATGATTTCTGAAATATTGTAGGATTCATCTTCTCTTCCTCTTTTCTTTTTTATGACTATAAAAGAAAAAATTACTTGTAATAGCAATGAAAGCAAATACATGCGCACACTCTTCAGAGCAACAAGACATTTACCTGGATTCTCTTCACTTGCAACAACTGAATTTTTACCCTATAAAACAAGGAATACGAATTTTACTATGCATTTTTATGGTAATACTTACTACATGACACAGACTAGCCAGGCAGGACTACACATACCTATAATCCTAGCTACTGAGGAAGACTGCAAGCCCCAGTGTTAGCACTTTAGCCACACCCATGTGTGACCTATGCTTTCCTACCACAATGTTCAGGCTCATGATGCCCTGCTTCTTCCCAAGGGTTCTACTTCTCTCATTTTCTCCACTTAAGGTGGTAGAAATTAAACACAGGCGTTTTGTTTTGAAATTCCATGTACATCTATCCTGAAGCTATTCAATTATTAGGAATTATTATTATTTTTTAATATATTTGGTACAGGGTCTCACTACACAGCTCGGATTCGGAGTGATCTTCCTGTTTTCAGCTGCCCCAGTGCTGGGATTACAGGTGTTGCCAGCAGACCCCGGGGGGCAGGGCTCAAACCCTGGTCCCCGCACTTGCCAAAGCTCTAGTACACTGAGCTATCTTGCCAGCCCTACTACTCAACTGTTAGGATGAAATAAGAAGAAATATCAGACCAGTCTGAGTAAAATCTGTAAGTTAAACACAAATGAAAGTATAAGCAGAGTAAAACACAGAACGAAAAATACTAGTGAAGGTGGCAACCAAAAGGAGATGTTCAAAAAAGTTTCACAGTGGCAGATAGCAAAGACTACTCTATCAAGAACAGATGATGCTGAGCACAGTGGCATACCCTAGTGATCCCAGCACTCAAGCAGGCTGAAGCAAAAGGACACCAAGTGGGAACTCAATCTGGGCAACTTTGTGAGACTCTATCCCAAAACAAAAATAGACAAAAAATGGTGTGGAGATGTAGCTTAGTGTGAAGACCTTGAGTTCAATCCTTACCACCACCACCACCACCACCACCACCACCACCACCACCACCACCAAATAAACAAACAGCAATATTTTAAGTTTCAAGATTAAAATAGAATCCAAAAAAAGAATTCTGAAAGAATAGAAGAACCAAATATCAGTTTTTAATAAGTTTTTTGCAAAATAATCTGCAAATTCTTTATTAGGTACTTATTACCACTAGCTAAACTAAGACTGAAGTACTGTATTTAGACTCAGTGATCCCTAACCCATTTCTTACTATTGGCCTGAGATTTAGAAACCCTCATTCAAATTCTGATATTACTATTTATCAACTTTTGTGATCTTCAGCAAGTTGTAGCCAACTGACATTATTTGGAAGTCTATAATCACTGTCTCTAGAAAAATACAACCTTAGGTTCCTGAGTTACAACAGGTAACTATGGTTACATTTTCATCAACAACCAATAAACAGAGATTTACTGTATTTCTGTTGTAAAGACAGCTGGCGTACGCCGTGTGTCCGTGTCCCTGAGACCTTGGCAGCACGTGAGCTGTGGACCAGCAGGTGTGGGGCCCCCGCTCTGGGCTGTGCACACTGTGAGGCAGTGGTGATGGTACGTACCTTGGGCCAGGCCCCAGGAGGGCCCTGTGTGGCGCTGCAGCTTCCTGTGGCAGCAAGAACTTGCTCAAGAAATTTGCTTCCAAAGCTAGTTATGTGTGAGCCAGGTCTTTGGGCTGGGCACTGCCGGGGGACTGCTGGGCATGCTCAGGCCCAGGATTCAACCTCCAGCTCTTAAAATAATAGTTTGTGGTATTACCTTTGCAATTTTCAGAGATTCATTTTTTCTTTCCACTCTCTCTTTCTTCTTCTGTTCCTGTAATTGTTTGTTAGTACTTTAGTGGGAAATATAACACATAAAAACATGTATCTCAACTCAAAAAGCTACATTCACGAAGGAAAATACTCAGCTAGAAAATGTGTGCTTCATGCAAGCCTTTATGGAACAATGGAACAGAGATGTACCCTCCTGTCATAAGCAAGATCCAGGTAAAAGACATTAAACAATGACTTTCAAAGACAGTGAACATGACAAAGGGAAACGAGATCAATTCTTCTGAGTGCCCCGCTGTATGAAGGGAGGACAAGTACAACAGAAAGGGTCCAAACAGAAGCCAATCTCTTTGCCCTGAAGGGACAGGATTGAAACTGAGAACTACTGGGATTTCAGTGTCTCAGATCAAAGGCAGAACTTCACAAAGAAAGCAGCTTTCTGTGTCATACATGCACCTTAAATTTTAGAAGCAAGACATAAAGGATACAACTCATTTTTTCTGAGTTTTTAAAATCCTATCTACCTTATGACTCATTAAGTACATGCTTTTGGGGGGGGGTTATTCTACAACTCAAGGATTTAAAAATGGTTTCAAAAGAGGAAAACAGGGACAAACATAGCAAAATCTCGATTAATAACTGTTAATTATTAATTAACAAGTGATGAGGATATAGGGATTTACTGTAGTCCCAGTTTGCACAACTTCTTAAATCTTCGTAATTATAGTGGGAAGACAATAACAAACGCAATGATAAAATATATCACATGGTAAGTGCAACAGGAAGAGCACAAGGCAAAGAGATAAAGGTAGTAACTTCAGTCCCAGGGCTCTGGGAAGCTGAGGCAGAAGGATCTCAAGTTGGAACTCAGCTTGGGAAACTCAGCAAGACCATCCTGTCTCAAAACTTAAAAAAGGGTTAGGGATGTTGCTCAGTAACAAGGTCCTGGGTTCCATCTGTGTGTGTGTGTG